TCTCTCTCTCGACACCGCTGCTTCTTCTTCTACTGCTGATGCTGATGCTGATAATGTCTCCTCTTTGAGGAGGTTGTCGGTCCGACGCTGAGGCGAGGATAGGACGAGGAGCGGGAGGTGTTTAGTTTCAGTGGAGGCTGCAGCTGCATGGAGCTAAAGGGGGGAGGAGACGCTTGACTCGGCTTCACCATGATCGCCGTGTCGTTCAAATGCCGCTGCCAGATCCTGCGTAGGGTGAACAAAGGTAGAGAGACATGGGAGATGAGTGGAAGAGAGAGAGAGAGAGAGGACCGGGCTGTGGTGGAGGGCAAAGCATGTTTGCATATTAAACATGTGACTGTGTGTGCGTGAGTCTGTGTGTGTGTGTGTGTGTGTGTGTGTGTGAGAGAGAGAGAGAGAGAGTGTGTGTGTGGTTGAACGACATTTGCTGTAAACTCCTGACATTGGCCAGAGAGAAGGAAACAGACAGAAACAATCTGTCTGTCTGTGTGTGTGTGTGTGTGTGTGTGTGTGTGTGTGTGATAACATCTAAAGGATTCATTCAGTCAATGTTCTGCAGGTAACCTTTGGGTCGAGAGACCTTTAGAATGGCTGTGAGCACAGAGAGTGAGAGAGCGAGAAAGGAAGGATTTAATTTTCATGAATGTAATATTCATTGTGAGAGACTGAAGAAGGGCGAGCGAGCATAGAGGACACAGGAGGGCAGACAGAAATATATTCTCACATATATATACATATATATATTTTAAATTCAGGTACAGTGTGTTGAAAAAAAAAAGTTTGGAAGGAGTGTAATTTTTGGAACTTTTTTTTTTTAATTTCAGTGTTAGTTTAACTTAAATAAACCTGAATTTACCACTAATATATTTCTGAGATCTGAGTCCGCCTGTTGCCGTAACCTATACAGTCTTAGTTTAACTTAAATAAATAAACTGAATTTACTACTAATATATCTCTGAGATCTGAGACCGCCTGTTGCCGTGTGAGTTTTTGGGAACTTTTAGTAGTACTTTTTCAAATATTTCCCCCTGTTGCATAGTAAGTAGATATGGACGAGGACGCAGTCACACAAAATCAGACTAATGTGTAGTACTGTAGTACACTGTACACTAAAAATATTCCTCTGTTCTCATTGGACGCTTGAACCTGACCTTGCAGAGAACTTTCCAGTGAGGGCCGCTGTTTCCGTTTCTTACCGGAAGTCTTCACTTAGTGAGGCTTCCGCGAATGTTCACGGACAATATCGTCATGCGAGGGTTCCTGCGTTCTTGTGGTAAAATGGAATATTCCAGGGGTGAATATACAGTAGTCCTGATTCCTGTGGTGAACAGACATAAAAATCCACCAGGAACTGTTAGTACTTGATACTAACAGTTCCTGGTGGATCTTTATGTCTTGAGTTTTAGTGAGAAACAGTTAAATTAAATGGATTTTCAACTAATTGAAATTCTTCATGTACGCTTCGTTGTACTATTTGTAGAAATATACTCTACGTATACTGTGTCTGTGCGTGTGTGTGTGTGAGCGAGAGAGAGAGAGAGAGAGAGGGGGGGGGGGAGTATGTCGACATATAAAGATTCCTCTGTCCTACATCTGGAAGTGGAGGAGGAGGCTCAGCTTTCATCTTCATTTAGCCATGGTGTTTGTGTGTTTGTTTGTGCGTGTGCGTGCGCGTGTGCGTGCGTG